AACAGCGAGCCACCTCCCAGAACCCAAGTGCTCACTCTCAAACGCGTACCCAGGCCTGTCCTGGGGGTTCTCTGTGGCAGTGACGCGAGGGGCCCTCCAGAGCAATGTGGACGTGGGCAGCTCGCCTCCTGCCCAGCTGTCCCCACATCCAGGGTGACCTCAGTGCTCCCCACCCCGGGGACCCACCTGCGGGCAGCGTGGAGAACTCCACGAAGGCCGCCGCCTTTTCCCGCTGCTCCAGAGGCAGCTGCCACGGCATCTGGTGGGGCTTGGCCAGAACCTTCACCTTGTAGGCCATGTTGGGTCTGAGGTTTAAAAGCTGGTACTTGTACCTCGCGGCCTTCACGACGTCCAGCTCCTCTTCGTTGAGGAAGATGACATGGCTGTAGTTGCTGTTGGTGGGGAGCCAGGACAGCTGGGCGGAGGTCTGGGTGACGCTGTCCACCCGCAGGCGGGAGGGGGCCACCACCACGTCCCGGCCCACCAGCAGCGTGCACTGCAGCTCGTCCGAGCTGCCCCGGCTCGTGACGCTCTGCACGGAGATGCGGTAGGTGCAGGCCGCCAGGTTGAGCTTCTCAATAAGTGCCTTGGTCCTGCTCCCCAGAGCGAGGGTCACGCGTGTCTCCTTGTCCACCAGGACATTGTAGCTGCTCACGGTCCCCCACCCCGGGGGCACGGCCGGGGGCTCCCAGCCCACAATGACACTTTTGGCGAGTTGTTTGATGAGGGTGATTTTCCTAGGGTAAGGCACAAGGTCTTCCCCGATCTCGTCGATGTTTGCGTCCAGCATCCCCGCACCGTTGTCTGTGATGCTGGCGTCAGTGTGAGTCGGGGAGAGGGGGTCGGGGATGCTCTCCCCTTCCAGGCCGACACCGGAACGGTTGATGAAGTTCTGATCCTGTTCGCTCCCCAACGTGCTTGTCAACCGTGACTCATTGTCCTGGACAAAGTCCACGAAGTTGGAAGGCACCAGACCCCTCTGTCCATCCAGGAGCTCACCTGTTGGAGACAAGGGCAGTGTTGTCACCCAGCCATCACACCAGGGACCCTGATATCCTGCCACACACATGTGCTTCTCTGTCATCGGACCACATGGCAAAGCAATGGGTCTGTGAACGCATGTGCGCCTCAGCCTTGTGGGATCTGCCCACAAGACCCTTCCCCGTCTAAGATGCCACTTGCAGCTTCCCCCACCACAGCCTGGCTTTCCTTGTGGCACTTGCTCCCACCTGGACCTGTCTGTGTATGTATACTGACAGCCCTCTCCCAACAAGGGCAGGAAGCTCTGTCTTGTTCACAAGCACAGAACCCCCAACCTAGTCCCAGAGTGGCACCTGGCACACAGTAGTTGCTTAGTAAACAAGAGTTAGAAGGACTAACAAACGTCAAATCTGTGGTGGTGGGAGGTGGGAAAAAAAAAAAAAAAAAACTTCCTGTAGTTTTTGGCTGAGGACTAACAGGAAATGGGAGTTGAAAGGTGAAGTGACCACACCCTGCCCACATCAGCACTGTCACATCTGAACGAATTCCCAAGGCATCCACTTGGTGTGAAAGGAGACTATTCAGTGTCAACACCACCTGCACGTGGCAGACACTGGTCACCTGAGCATCTCTGTGGTGTAGACACCAGTCACATGAGCATCTCTGTGGTGTAGACACCAGTCACCTGACAGCTCGTGGCTGCGGACACCAGTCACCTGACAGCTCCATGCTGCGGACACCAGTCACCTGACAGCTCCATGCTGCGGACACCAGTCACCTGACAGCTCGTGGCTGCAGACCTAGTCACGTAAGCAGGTCTGTTGTGTGAACACCGGTCACTTAAGCAGCTCCATGGCCGTGGACAACAGTCACCTGAGCAGTTCTGGGTGTGGACACTGCTCACCTGAGCAGCTCTGTGGTGCAGACACCAGTCACCTGAGCATCTCCATGGCCACAGACACCATTCACCTAAGTATCTCCATGGTGTAGACACTGCTCACCTGAGCAGCTCCATGGCTGTGGACACCGGTCACCTGAGCAGCTCCGTGGCTGTGGATACTGGTTACCTAAGTAGCTCCAGGCAGGCCCAGTGGGGACTCCAGCTGCTGGAATGGTCTAACTTCTCTTTATTGTTGCCATCAAGTGAGCCTGACCCATAGTGACACCACACACACCAGGAGGAGACCCTGCCTGGTCCCACGCTGTCCTCATGGTCGGGCTGCAGATGGACAAGAGGAGACGCTGCCTGGTGTGCTGTCCCCAGGTCAGGCTGTAGGTGGGACCCCGTGGTCCCCAGGGTCCTCATCGGCTGGTTCCCAGATCACCAGGCCTGTGTTCCCCGTCTCAGTCTGGAAAGTCCCCTGAAATCTCTTCAGCTTCACGGTGACACTCAGTCCTCCGCGGACAGATGAGTGGTGGCTGCACATGACGTGCACTGGCCAGGACTGGAATCCAGCTCTCCCTCCCGGAAGGCGGGGATCTGACCACAGCTAACACTGACTGAGCGGTCACTACTGGCCAGGCCCCGTGTCAGCATGCCGGCTGCCACCTCCTCAGCCTCACGGCCACCTCCATTCTCAGCTGAGGAGACCGAGGCACAGAGAGAAGTTTGTGTGGGTACCTGGCCCGGTGTGGAAGCCCCCAGAGCTCTCCACCAAGGGCTCATCAACAACCATGTGAGCGCAGATTTCCACGCCGGTGTGTACAGCAGTGCTGACAACAGGTGTTTGTGTTAAGAAGTCACCCTGTCCTGCCACCAGCTGCAGAGAAAGGGCTTGGGAGGACACCACCAGAATGAGACCCCTGGTGAACAAACAGTGGCTCAGCCACAGCCTGGGCCCCCCACTCACGGGCACTGACCCATGAGGACACCCTGGCTCCACCTCCTACAACACTCCAGGTAAGAGCCAAGCTGCCCCACCAGCTCCCTCAAAACTCCACGAGATCGTGGAAGCGAAACCTGACAGTTTGTCAAGAAACATTCCTTCTGCTCGGGGAATCGGGAAGGCACCAGGACCCTATGTTTGTTGGGGCTCTTGGACAATTTAGGGAGCCATTGAACACAACCTTCAGAGCATTGGTTTATGAAGGATGTGTTCCCACGTGCCTCCTCCAGCGACAACAGCCACTACGGGGAATGCACTTTGGATGGAGAAGTGCACCTTCCGATGTCAATGGACATGCCATGAGGGCCCAGCCAGGACTCAGGCCAGACCGCCCAAGTTACCAACAGAGCCGCAATCTCGACCAGCTCACCCTCTGAGGGTGCCAGCGCCAGGCCAAAAGGCCCGAGGGTGCTAGGCATCAGACAGAGGAGGGGCGGACAGAGGCCCGTCAGCCCTGCACGTGCCAATGTTCAGCAGGAAGCCCTGCCGCCATCCACACGATGAGCCTTCAGAATGCCCGAGATCTCAGGGCTCCAGCCTGGGACCTAGCTCTGTTCTGCAGCTGCCAGAAGGAGAAACCCGTCATTATGGGGGGGCGGGGTCAAGGGGCGGGGCAACGGCCAGGAAGCGGGAGCTGCAGGGTCGCCAGGGCCCTGAGCCAGCCTGTGGGGGTGGTACAAGCCAGTGTGCGCCCAGCCCCGGCCACAATGCGGCAGACAGACCTTCATAAAACCCGTCCTCGTCCATGTCTCCGTACACGTAGAGGTACTTCCCTGCTGTGAGTGGCAGCTCGGCTTCTGGGTTCTCATTTGGCCCATCGAAGGGGTTGTAACTGCAGGCAGACAAGAGTCACTGGTTAGGGCAGCACCTGGAGACCGCGGCCAAGGCCGCTGCCGGGCAGGAGGCTGGGACTAGCACACTCTGTCCCCGCCACTGAAAACCACAAGCCCACACCACAGTCCAGTGCTGAGGAGTCCTCTGGACGCTCCGGAAACCCAGGCAGCTGCTCACTCACACAGACATAACACAAAAGAAATCCTGGAGCCAGGTGGTACTCGCAGAGTCCTCTGTACCGATGACAGGCTCGGGGCTGACACTGCTCCTCGCACCTGCCACCTCCTCCACAGAGACCCGTTTTCAATCAGCGAGCAAAGAAGAAAAATTAACCCCATCATCGTCCACACACGCAACTTCCTCACTAGAGATGGGACCGTCAACACTGTTTTGTAACCTTCTTTGACCTACCTCTTGGCAAAATAAAAACCAGCTGAGAGGAGTTGACTCCACGGCACGGCAGCCCGACCTGTGTCAGAGTGGAACTGCACCCGAGGCCTTTCTGTGGGTGGTTCCTGAGAGGTGCTGTCCCGGGCTGTCCCGAGCCGAGCCCCGCTCCAGCCTCCCACCCCTCAGCAGCTCGGTGAGTTCCCCACTTGCAGCTCCCGGGACACCCATCATCTAAGTTGCAGTGAAACGCTGCTTCTCTTCAGGGCTGAGAGGACAGCCCTCAGCTCCCCTCACCCCTCACGCCCTCCGCCCTGGTGCCCCGTGCTCCCAGCCAGCAGAGTGCCCGGGAGCACCACCCTTACCTGTAGCGGGCGACACACAGGTGGACCTTCCCGGAGTATCTCTGCTTTGAGGTATTGGAGTTCTGTTCATTGTCCATCTAGTAAAGATACATTGAAGGTGGAGGTTACGAGATCTGCAGGCCTGCAACACGCAGAAGCCCTTCTCATCAGACTCCTGGGGAAATGGCCTCCAGGGTGGACGCTTCCACATCTGTACCCTCGGGCCTGGTGTCCTGGTTCCCTAGTACCACTCTGACAGGAATATACCACAAATGGGATGCTTGAACAAACAGGAGTTTATTCTCCTACAGTCTGGAGCCATTCAGTCCGAGTTCAGAGTACCAGGCTCTAGGGGCTGGGTGAAAGCCCTTCAGCCTTGGGCTTCAGCTCTGCCTCCTGCTCCCAGCCCACTGGAACTAGAGGCATCTCTTCACTCAGCTGCTGGCTGCTGAGACTGACAAGCCCAAGGTTGACAAGTAAAAAGGCACGGTCCCAATGTTACCAGACCACACGGCAGGCCATTAATTCAAGTCTACTGTAAGTTCCCAAAGTCGGCAGAGCATGGCAGGCTGCTGAACAAAGACACAGCTACATGCAGGGTTCAAGTGTGCCATAAGCTAGAGACCATCCCCAAGGCTTCTCTTTATATATAGGAAGCAGACCACATCCCAAAGACAGCTACTCAGCTGCTCCCAGTAGATTCCACCATGGAGCTGATTACCAGTCTTATCATGGGGAAAATTACATTCAGCTGCCCAGCCACTCAACCAGGCCCAGCCGAGTTGACACACAGACTTTACCAGCACCCTGGGACCAGCTGCTGTTGCATGCAGTCCCACTCATATGACCCCACGTGTCAGCAGAGCTGGGCCCACGGAGCCTGCAATGACCGATTTCTCAGAAGCAGGTCACCAGGCCTTTCTTCCAATGCCCGGGGTGGGTGGGAACACTCACTTTTCAGTTAGCATTGAATGCATTAACTGTTTGTACCATGCAGCGACTCCCAGCCCTGGGTGTGGACCAAGAAATGAAAGTTGTCCCTAAAGAAGACTCCTTAGTCACAGAGAAAGGACACTTAACGAAGAATTCGGTTCCCCAACAGCAAGACAGGACTCCAGGGGAAGACCTTCCCCCACATCATTTAAAGTGCGGACGGTGGTGGAGCCAGGCCCAGGGTATGTACAGGACCTGGCAAGGCTCCTTGGAAGACACAGAGATGAAGGCCATGTGTCCTCTCCCTTGGAAACTATGTACTGGGGCAGGCACGCATCCCCTCTCATGTGTCCTCTCCTTGGAAACTACGTACTGGGGCAGGCACGCGTCCCCTCTCATGCGTCCAACGCTGCCTTATGCATCAGGATGCCAGGGAAGTCTGGGTGGACTGCATGGAAGAGGAGGCACGAGAGCCCCTTTCCTCCCAATTCCCCGACTCCATTCTGATGACCCTACCCACAGGGCAAGCCTTACCCAGGGGGTCAGGTAGATGGCGGAAGGGGAGTTGCAGCTCACCCAGCCGGGCCACTGAGGCAGTGAGAGCAGGGGACTGAGCAGTGGTGCGCAATGACCGCCAGGCCCCCGGATTCTGCTCCTGTTCCTCCCCAGACCACGCTCCCCACAGACGCCACAGGGGCCTTTCACCCTTCCTCGCCTAAAACCGTCCAGGGAACACATGACAGACCCACAGTGCCGTCCACACACAGGATGGAGACTACTCAGCCAGAGACCCATGGGGCCCTGAGGCACGCCACTACACGGGGGCACCCCAAAATCACGATGCTGAGTGATACCAGCCTGTCACAGAAAGACAAACACTGAATGACCCTACTGATGAGAAACAGAAACCAAACATTATCAGGTCTGGGAGGGAGAGAGAAGGGATGCTTTGTTGGGGGCACTGAGCTTATGTTAACGACGGTAAGAGGGATTCGCAAACGGACACAGTGGTTGCGGGACGTGAAACCGTGACCAGCGTCACTGAACTGAACACATGGGAATGGCTGAGATGGTGCGTGTTTTGTGGGGTACATTTTCACAATGAAAAATAAAGGCAGGGTGAGAATAGGGAAAAATCTAACGGCTTCCCACTCCAAAATCCCAATGTTGCCTTCTGATCGACCCCAAAAGGCATCTCCCCCATCGTCGCCTCCACAACGCATCAACCAAACGGCTCCTTCTGGCGCCTGATCACAACATACTACAAACGCCCTGCTGAGTGAAAGAGCCCCTACACATCACAGCCACCCCCGGTCATCCTGGCCCTGTGTCACGTGACCTGTGTCACGTGACCTGTGTTAGCAATACCTGATGTGACCTGTGGCCCTCCCTCCTGTCACCTCCCCGAGGGCAGGACCCCACACCCTGCACACAACAGGTGCTCAAGACAGAGGGCTATGGGGATGAATGGGGTGAAGGACAGGACCCAAAGGGGCAGGGGGGAAGGGGGAGAGCTGGGAGCCAGGCGGGGGAGGGGAGAGCCAGGAGCAGGGAAGGCGGGGAGCCGGGACCAAGCGGGACAGCTGGTAGTGCCCACAGCACAGCACTGCAGGCAGACACCCGCCCAGGACAGGACTCACGTCGGACTCGGGTCTGCATCTCAGGCCTCTGGACCTCGACAGAAAGGCAGGCTTGAGGGATGGCGGCTCTGTCGTGTCCCTGGGGCGTGTAAGTGGCAGGATGCAGTCACCGATCACAGAGTGGCTTCCAAGGGAGCTCTCCTGACCTGGCCACCGGCCCAGACCAATTTGAAAAAAGATGGAAGTCAATCCCAAAGGCACGCAGGTGTCTGCCTTCCCAGACCCACCCCTCGCTGGTACCAGCTTCGGTTCTTCAAGTTGGAACCCACCCACCTCCTACACTGACTCCATATCGGCTCTCTGCGCCCGCCCCTGGTCTGAGCTCCCCCCGACTGTCATCACTGGTGGTCGTGGCGGACACTGCCAACGACACAGGAAGGTCCCGCCAGAGGGCTTTTAACAGGACCAGTCACAGAGAGGCACCCTTCTTGGCTGCCTGTGTGGAAGATGTGGGGTTGGGAGATCCTGCACCCATCTTACTACCAGGATGGGGTACGTCTGTCTGAGAACGGAGCCCACCAAAGAACAGAGGCTGTGAGAAGCAGGGAGAGAAACTTCCTGCTGGGGGTGTGGATGCAGCCCCTGGATCCAGCTGCACCTGATGCAGTCCTACTGGCTGTTCTCCCCCCCGCCCCCAGAGGACTAAGAAATTCCTCTGGGCTCATGCCGATTTAGGATGGAATTGTGTAACTGAAGACCAAAAGCCTCCTACCTGAAACTTACGAAGTGCCAAAGGGCCAAGTTTATGGCTAAATGTACTCTGGGCAGCAGACTTGTAAAGTCATTCCCTGCTGCCCCACCCTTGTGGCTGAGCCCCGTCATGTCCGTACAGGGGAAACCTGTGCACGTGGACCAGTGCTGGCCTGAAGGGCAGATCCGAGCAGGCGTCAGTCTCCAATGTGAATGTGACAGCAGCTGTCTGAGTGAGTTGGTGCTGATGTTACAGAGCCACCACAGAGGGGCGGCTTTAACAAACAGGAACCTGTTCTCCGGTGGAATTCAGGGTACCGGCTCTCAGGGAAGGCTCTCTCTGTCGGGTCTGGGGTAGGGCCTCCTGTCTTTCGGCTTCTCTTCCTCATTCCTTGGCAACCTCCACACGCCTTCTCTTTCCCCCCCTGTGCTGGCTTCTCCATGCCTGTCTTGTTCTTGTTGTTGCTGGTGGCATGGAGCCAGTTCTGCCCCATGGCGACCCCATGTTCAGAGCAGAACTTCCCTGGAGGGTTTCCTGGGCTGTAACCTTTAGAGGAGCAGGTCACCAGGTCTTTTCCTGCAGAGCCACTGAGCAGTAGGTTCGAACTGGCGACCTTTAGGTTACCAGTCAGGTGCTTAGCTGAACCACCAGCGCGCCTTCTCTGTGCCGCTCCGCTCTTGCCGTGTCTCAGAGTGATCAGGTTTGGGACCCACCCTGCTGACACTGCCTCGTTCCCACAACAAGAAAAGCCTTCCCAAACAGCCTCACACCCGCAGGTACAGGGTCTGGACTCCAACACTAGTTCAATCCACACCACGCCACGCCCCTTCCCTGCAATTCCTGGCCACTCAGAGCCTGGAGCTGCTCCCTCCAGCTTTAACCATCTCTCTGACCAGCTGAGTCCACGCCAGGGGGGCCACAGAGCTTTCAAACACAACCTAGTGCTCCAGCAAAGTGGCTGTGAGAGCCGCCCACCGGACCTCATGCCCCATCCAGTTAGAACACCGGGACTGAAGCTTATGCCGAACGGCCAGCCGTGGGGGACCCTGTGGACACCGCCGGGACTGAAGCTTATGTGAAACGGCCAGCCGTGGGGGCCCCTGTGGACACCGCTGCAGGAGGATGGGCTTTGTCTGTGTGCTGCCACATCCCCAAGGCCCACGGTCAGCGCAAGGTAAACACACGCAAACAGCCATAGGTCTCGGCAAACCGGCCAATGACAGGAGCACTGTGGTGAGCAGAGGCCACATGCCCCGTGTTTGTGTAACTGGCCCTGTTCCTTCCCCTACATGAGGAAGGCAGCATTCCTGAGACAGGGCCTCTGTCCAGCACATTTCCGTGTGAAGCCTGGTGGTTCCAACTCCCTGACAGCCCACAGGGACACGGAGCCTAATGCAGACATTGACCTGTGCTGTTTTAAACCACTGAGGTTGGGGCTGTTTGTTTCTGCACTGGAACTAGCCCATGCTGACTGATACACAAACAAAGTGAAGAGCTGATAAAACCCACTGCTGTGGAGGCGATTCCGAGTCACGGTGCCCTGTAGGACAGAGTAGGACTGCCCCAGGGTTTCCGTGGCTGTCGATCTTTATGGAAGCACAGTACCACGTTTCTCCATGGAGCAGATGGTGAGCTTTCTATCTGCGGCTAAGCACTTAACCACTGCACCAGCAGGCTCCTTCTGTGAAGATGACATTGCAGCTAAGAACTGGAACCAACTCAAGGGCCCACGGCGCCGGTGGCACTGTTATGCTGGAGTCCCCTGGTGGTGTGAGCGATCAGCACCCTCAACTGCTGCCCCAAAGGTTGGGGATTCAAGGCCACACAGAGGGACCTTGATAAAAGTCCCAGCCATGTACCTCCCAAACACTGGCTGTTCAAAACCCATAGAGCGCACTTCTACTCCGATGCACTGGTTTGTTTTTGACTTGCCACACAGTAAGATGTTCCTGGGTGGCACAGTGGTTAACACGCTCAGCTGCTACCCAGAAGGTTGGAGATTGGAGGCCACCCAGAGAACAGCCTGGGACCTACTTTGAAAAACTCAGTCTTTGAAGCCCCAGGGAGCTCAGTTCTGCTGACACATGGGGTCGCCACGAGTTGGAGCCGACGCCGCGGAGACTGGCTCTCATCCTGGGTGTGGAGCGTTGGCCACGCTGCTCTGGGGCGGGCTTGCTGGAGAAGGAGCACCCCTTTTGAAGGTAGCTGGCCACCCTCACTAGCCCCGGCCGAGGGGGCGGAACAGGCACTCACCCTTGCCGATGGAGGTGGCAATCCCATTCATGAACGGTGGGAAGGGCTTGCCGGGGGCCGAGGGGAAGTCCAGGGAGGCCACAGGGCTGCTGGCCAGCAGGTCGAGGGTCCCGGCGTGCAGCCGGCACTTCTCCAGCTCCCGGGACAGTAGGCTGAACTGCTCACTCTGCAGACGGCATTTCACCTCCAGCTCCTGGACCCTGGACTGCAGGACAGTGCACAGAGAGGGTTCAGTCGGGAGCATCAGGGTGCGGAGCGCTCCCACCTCCGCAGGGGAACAGCGTCAGAGCAAACCCAGCCTCCCGTGCAGCCGAGCCGCTGGCCAAGTCCCGTTCCAACACCAGTGTGGGAAACCACAGCTGCCAAGGAAACCCCGCGAACAGCAGATCTGCCAACCTCAGACAGTTTTGGGCACCACACGGTGCCTGGGCTCTTTGCAGTTGGCGGGCCTTGCTGTGGGAATGTGGAGCGAGCGGCTGGCACCCAGTGTGGACAGGGAGGATGGTTTGCTAACCCACCGATGCCTTCTCATCTGGGGCACACGCCCTAGGATGCAGGGCCCCCACAGAACGCAGCTCTCAGCAACACAAGAGGCCATGTACCGCAGGATGCTAGCAACGCCTTGGCCGTGTACAGACACCACCAGGCCATCTGGTGAGCCCAGAGAGGGCAAGTGCTCCTTGGGGACACACACAGTAAGACAGTCAGCCAAGCTCTCTCCTGGGGCAGGACAAGCCAGGGCTCCGAGACCTGCATCCTGAGAACCTGGATCCCTCCTGCCCACCTGTGTGGCCCTCGTGGGTGGGCATGTGAGAGCCTCTCTCCCCTCCCCGGGGACTCACCATGTCCTGGTCTGAAAGGCAGGCTTGTGTCTGGGACGGGTCTCTGCAGCGCCCCCAGGGGGAGACGTGTCGGGGAGGGGCTCTGCTCACCAGTCCTCGCCTCCCCACTGGCTCACTGCCCCACAGCCCGTGAGCCTCTGGTGTGTCTGCCAATTAGCCCCGAGTCCCACTCTGCCCTCGGCTCCCTTCGTACGTCAGTGCTTGGCAGAGGGCCCAGCGCGTCGTTTAAAACCCACCCCAGCTGCCGTCACGTGGGCCCTGACTCGCAGTGACCCCGTGTTGGAGCAGAGCTGTGCACCCTTGGGTGTCCAGGGCTGACACTCAGGAAGATGGCCAGGCCTTTCTTCCAAGGCTGGTTAGCAACACGCACCCTAACCACGTGCCCTGCAGGGACTCAGCTGGTCTGCGGGCACCCTGTGCCCCTCAGGGTGGCTTGTGCCGTGCCAGGGCAAGGCTGCCCTTCTCCAGGGCAGTGGGAATAGCACTCGCTACATTGTTCACTGTGCGTCTTGTCTGGCTTCCCCTAATGAAGCATCAGCGCCTTGCTCTGGGGCACAGTGCGACCCCGGGCTGTGCTTTGGCCCTGGCAGCATGAACAGACACCAGCCAAGCGGGGACACTTCCTGTCCTCAGTGGCAGGAAGGCCCAGGACCGGGCCTCTTCCTCCACCCACACTCCCCTCCCCAGCTCTGGAGTCCAGAATGAAGAGCCATTTATTTGAGTTCACAGGTTTCTAAAAATAACCCTAACAAATCCCAAACCTATCATTAATTTCCCCGATTCAGTAAAAACACCAGCAGTGATGTGGTAAAAGCTGAATGAATATGGCTGAGACAGCTTTCTCCCCCAAGGAGGCACAGAGCTTGGAATCAGGGCTCGCGGGAGCAGGTGTGGTGGGGTGGGAGGTGGGCCCACCCCAACAGGAAGACCCAGGTACCGAGGTCACAGGTAGAACTGCATGCCAGCCTGCTCCCTCCACCCCTTTCCAGGTGAACGACACCTGGAGCAGAGCTGTGAGGGCCCCTTTAGGGCAGCAGGGCCCCTAGACAAGGAACAATGTGTCCAACACTGGGCCTTGGGTCGGAGGGCATCCAAAAGGCTCCCAGGGCTCAGTGGGAGCAGGACACCCAAACCCAGTTGCCATCACGGCCTTCTGTTTGCACTAGGGAAACAGTGGCATGTCACATCTGTGATAGCAGGTGACCATACAAGGTGAGTCACCTGAGAAAGCCAATACATTTCCAGTTATAGAATTGTCTGCAAACAGCAAAGCATAGCAACTGGTGGTTGCCAGGGCTCAGGGCGGGGGAGGGTGACTACACAGACACATAGGGGAGCATCTTTGTGATGATAAAGACTCACGCATCTTGGTTACCGTGGTAGTGCCACACATGTGCTGCTGCGGACCAGGGC